ATGCAACAAAGTTGGCTCGGCTGCAATGCCAAAACAGTGGCGAGCGAGGGGGCCTTCAGGTACGTTTACCTCTTGACCTTCTCGAGAGCACTCGGAAACCTCTCTTTCTCCCTCCCCCAGGACTCCCGGTGGGGTCACCGCCCGCAGGACCCTTGCATTACACAACAAAGTCATCGGGTAAAAAAGAAGCGCAAAAACAAGCTCGGCAGGGGGTCGCTGCAGCATCTGGAAACGGGCTTCATCCTAATCTAAGGAGTTGATCAAGTCCCTTGCCCAGTACCATTCGGCCCCTCTTTCTAAGGATTTGTGTTGTCTGATTGGTGCTTTGAGCCCTGAAGTCTCTGCCGATTCGTCGAGCTTGTTTGGACCGCAGCGAAACGAAACATGCAGAGAGTACTCCGTAGTCCTTACTGCTGCACCTGCCCACCAGTGCCCATGCTGCTTGTTCTCGCCTCTGCTTCGTCTACCTACCTTAAGGTACCTTACCTTATGGAATACTCACACTCACACTCTCCTTCCCACTCATTCAATTTCCTGCTTCGCAAGGTACCTGAGGCTTTCCGAAGGACGAGGCAAGCCTCGCTGCCATCTGAACTTTTCACCATCCTCTCCAACCATGCACCCCCCTTGACGCCATTGGCAAGGGGTACCATCCACCTCTTGACTTGGCTCGCCCGCTAGATCCCCCTTCCCGTCTTCCATGATACGCACCGCGTGCGCGCACACACACGCTCTCCCAGGCAAGCGCTGCAGTTGTTGCGGCTTGCGGCTTGCGGCTTGCCCTGGACTCCTCCCCCAGTACGGATAAGATGCAAACTCCTGCTTACTGTACCCTGTACCCCTGCCGGGTCTGAAGCTTTGTGGTCGAGCGTAATCTTGTTACCCGCATTGTGGGCTCCCGTGTGAACCGACGACGGAAAGAAAGCTAGCCGCAGACAATCCCCAGCAAGGACCCAAGTCGATCCGACCCCTCCCGAGTAGCAGAACATGAGAAAGGCCATGCGTGTGTGGGCGGCGAGATACCTTACGCCATGGGAGAGCGGCAAGATACCTACCTTACTGAGGCTAAAGTGAACCTTCTTTATTGCTCGCTTGTTTCCCACCTTCATTACTGTATTCCCGCCCCTTCTCTTCTTTCCTCTTCATCCCGTTCACTGTGTGTCAATTTCTTCAAACTTCCAAAAGCGCTGGTCTGCTTTCCTGGTCCACCGGTTTTGCTTACACTTTCCTTTCCCTTCGAGACCTACTACGACCCTGTCACTCCCTCGGACGACATTCTTAATACCTCTTTCTAATCTTTCGCTTCATCGACCGTCCCAGGTGGCACCGATCGACAACAATCTTATATCCGAATTTCTGTCCCGGGAGAACAGCCGATCGAAAAGGAGAAGAAAGTCTAGGGCGAGCAAAGCTGAATTCACACAACCTACCTTAATCAACAATGCCTTCCACAATGAAGTCCGTTCTCGTCGCCTGCCTGGCCGCAGTGGCCACCGCCGCCCCTCTCGGCCCCAAGTTGAACGCCGACCAGATGAAGATCTACGATCTCGCCAAGAGGCAACAGGCTGGAGCCGGGGCTGCTGGATTGACGGATATTGATATCCTGCAATTGTGAGTGGGGACTCGGAAGCGACTTGTCATGGGACAAGAGAATGTCGGGCATCGGGACTAACACGGACTTCACAGCGCTCTTACTTTGGAATGGCTCGAGGGAACCTTCTACCAGCAAGGCTTCCAAAAGTTCCCCGCACAAGACTTCCAGGCTCTCGGTCTGTCCAACGAGCAAGTCAACGACCTGCAACAAGTCGGTGCTACTGAACTGTCTCACGTCTCTTTCCTGCAATCCGCTATTGCCCAGGCCGGCACTCAGCCCGTCCAGCCTTGCCAGTACAACTTCGGCTTCACGAACGCTGCTGGCATGGTCGCAACCGCTGGTGTACTCGAGAACGTCGGTGTTTCTGCCTACCTTGGCGCCGCTCCCCTCGTCAAAGACAAGGCCATCCTCGGCGCTGCTGGCTCTATCCTCACCATCGAGGCTCGCCACCAGACCTTCATCCGCGCCGCCTCTAAGCAGATTGCCATTCCTCAGGCCTTCGATGCCCCCCTTGGCGTTCGTGCCGTCTTCTCTCTGGCCGCACCCTTCATCGTCTCCTGCCCCCAGGGCTCCAACCTGGCTCTGCAGCCCTTCCCCAAGCTGACCATGACCGCTCCCGCCGACCCCAAGGCCGTCGCCGTCGGTGCCCCGATCATGCTCCAGTCCGACGCCGCACCCCAGGCCAAGGCTTGCGCGTTCACCACGGGTGGCATCCAGCCTGGTGGAACTGCCTTCACCCCCTTCAACCCCCAGACCGGCTGCGTTGTTCCCCAGGGTCTCAGCGGAGTCGTCTACCTCTCCCTCACCAACAACGCCCCAATGGCTGGCACGCTCACCGATGACATCATTGTGGCCGGTCCCATGGTGCTTACCATCTCGTAAGCGCGCTCCGAGAGTACGGGGTTTGCGGCCGCCCAGTTATGGGTTGGGCTGAAAGGACGTGACGGGTGTGCGTTGATTAATCCCGAAGGTCAAAAACAAAGCAAAAATTGGGGGAATAAAGCGCATGATGCCTTCGCTTTACGACATCGGAAGTTGGATAGTCAAGAGTCAAATCAGCCAGTTTTTCGAAAATGTCGACCTCTTTTTTTTTTTTTCTCTTTCTGACTCTTCGCTCCCTCCAACCTCACTATCCGATCGAAAACATTTCACTTCTCTGGCTGAATAGATAGCCTGTATATATGATGGTCATATTATATATATTCCCAACGAGGGTTTCAGGAGTCTCACCAAGACTTTTATGTATTGTTTAACTGGTAACTCATTTTTCTTTTCTCATCTCATCTCCTCAAAAGAGTCTTTTGTTACATTACTTTTTCATTTGTCGCATCAAATCCCTCAGTCTCGGAATAGACTTGGGAACAAACATCAGGAAGGGCGAAAAGGGCTAGGAAAAATCGTGCCCCGGGCAAGCGGAAGAATTCTATGATACCAGCAGAATAAAGCACGATTTTTGAAACATGTTCAACACATAGCATCTTCCCCCTTCCTCCGTGCGCCAAAAGTTGAGTCTACTGAGAGAACAGGGAGAAGTAGAGGAGCTGGGAAGAATGTGTTGAGTAACAAGGGAAGCGATACAACTGAGACCAGCGCGCAATCAAAAGCTATCTTTCACCAGCCGCAGAGGCTGCCAATTCATAACAAGGTTCCAATTTTGGGGGTGAGGTGTGAGGTGATCAGCTGAGCGGCGAGAAGAGCCGCGGCGGCTCAAGTTGGGGGATGGGTGACCATGAAGATGAGATTAGGTTTCTAGGTGGGTTAGGTAGGGGTAGATGGAAAGAAAGGCATGGATAGCCGAGCCGAAGACGACGAGTCGGCACAAAGTCGGTGTCTACTTACCCTCCACAGTCGACTCGGCGTCAAACCTTCTTTCGAGTCAGTCTGATCCGAGACACGGTGGTGGTTGTTTCTCGGGTCGGGACATACTTACGTTTACCTGTGCTGACTGCGGAACCCTTTTGGTTTCTAATGCGCTGTTGAAGTGGGTGGGAGGCATCGAGTAAGTCGTTGCCTTGGTTTATGCGGAATCTTAGTCTTAATCTCAAGTGCAACCCGCCCCGCCTTTCAGCTTTGTTATGGACTCAAATCAGCTTGATGATAGCCAAGGAGAAAGCATTGAGACATTTTCCATTAGATAGTCATCAAGACCGAAGCACGAGATAGCGATTGACTGATAGTATTTCGGCATAAGGTTCTCAGGTAACTGTGACCACTCATGTTTGAAGCCCACGATAAAGCCTGTACAACGATCTCGTTGACTACGGTAGATTACCGCAAATTGTCAGCAATAAATGGTAACAATATAAAGTGAGAGAATCAGCGAGCATATGTGGCCGGGGCACCACATTCTATAATTTCCTGAAGGTTTAGGATGTTGCAGACGCTGTTCACAACGTTGTTTGATCTTTGATGTGATGCGTTTTACTTTTGTAAGTTCACAGATCTCAGTGACTATTTCCACAACCGGCGGCCTATGACTGCTACGTAGTTGATCTTCAGGGCACGCATTTCTTAGGAATAACGGCACCTAGTTTTCAAGTTTTGAAGTATCCCTCACTCTACTATTGTGATCAAGAGCCAATGATGTCCCAAAAGGGTGGATACCTCTTACCGGGACTGGAACCGCTGCTCTATGCCAATGTGGGGCCGGTCGGCCCTAGCAGAGCGTCGGACTGCAGCCGGAGCTCCGTGATACGTGCACCCGCATCGGAATTATACTAACGACATTATCTCGGCTAACAATCATGCAATTAGGTCATTGCAGCCACGGTTTGTCCAAAAAGCGTCGCTTTACTCTCTTGAACTGACCGAAACTTGGCCTCCTTTGCAGCCAAGGTTCTTATAGCCGACTAGGATCATGTCCCGCCCGACGGGATGTCGAGATACATGAGTACACAACCCTCACGCAAGCAAGGTCGTTTATTATTCATCAGAAACCTATAACATGAGACTTTGTATAGTAATCCCCCAAATAGGCGCAGACATATGTACGATTTTCAGGTTTAACGCAAAAGGCTAAAGAGGAACCCCATCCGATCTAGATTGATTCCATACCTTACTACGTGGGGATAATTGATCTAAAAATGATCTGCCGAATATCAACCCCGCGCGTGCCCCTCATCCAGCTCCGTCTGGCAGTTCGGTCGCCCGCGTGGTGACGTCTGCGGGGTCAAAGTCTGCCCGCAAAATGGAGCAGAGAAGTCAACATTCTTCGGAATGACACCCCGGCGATGGGGGAAAGTACCGTTGCATCAACGGATCACTGGCAATATGTCCGGCTCGATGCGATCCCGTTGCGGGGTTGATTCGGTTCCCATAACAATCAGGGTCCATACGACGACCTTCAACTTCTTGTTCACTCCAGAGCAGATTTACAACTGTTGATTACACAGAGTTAGAGCTAAAGATGAGTCGCCCGTTCAACAAGGTAAATTACCCAGCCTTTCCTGATATGACGGTCTCCTAACATAGTGAACAGGTCGTGATCGTCGGGGCTGGCCCCTCTGGTCTCCTCCTCGCCCTACTGCTGTCCAAGCACGGCATTCCCGTCCACATCCTCGAGGCCCAGGACCACCTCGACCAGCAACCGCGCGCCGCCCACTACGGTCCCGCCGCCATCCCCGATCTCAAGCGAGCAGGAATCCTGGAGGAGGTCCGCCGCCGCGGCATGACGCTGAACAAGTTTGTATGGCGCCGTCTCGACGACCACGGCGTCATCACCGGGTTCGATGCGGGCGTGCTCCGCGACGTCGACGGCGAGGATCTGAGGACCACGTGCCTCGTCCTACAAGAGCTCGACCAGCTCATGCTCGACGAGTTTTTGGAAAAGTACAACGGGACCATCAGCTGGGAACACCGCGTCGTCGGTCTCGGACAGGATGAGGCTCGCGCCTGGGTCGACGTCGAGACGCCAGGGTCCGGGGAGGACAAGGAGAAGAAGGAGAAGATGGAGAAGAAGCGGATCGAGGCCGATTACATTATCGGCTGCGACGGCGCCAACAGCGCCATCCGCAAGGGTCTCTTCGGAGACGAGTACCCCGGCTGGACGTGGGACCAGCAAATCGTCGCGACGAACACGTACTACGACTTTGCGGGGAAATTCGGCTTCGACGACGCAAACTTCATCATCCACCCAGACCACTTCTTCATGGCGGCCAAGATCACCAGCGACGGCCTGTACCGCGTGACCTACGGCGAGGAGCCGAACCTCTCACACGAGGAGCTCCAAGCGCGCCAGCAGCAAAAATTTAGGACGATGCTGCCGGGCCACCCGGGGCCCGACGAGTATCAAGTGGTCAATTTCGCGCCGTACAAGATGCACCAGCGGTGCGCGCCGCGGTTCCGCGTGGGCCGATTCATGTTGGCGGCTGACGCGGCGCACTTGTGTAACCCCTGGGGTGGGCTGGGGATCACGGGCGGGTTCGTCGATGTCGGTGGGCTGTCTGACTGTCTTGCGGGCATCTGGGATGGGGTGGCGGACGAGGGGATACTGGATATGTATAGCGAGAAGAGGCGAGAGAAGTGGAAGACGATTATCGACCCGATATCGCAGGAGAATTTCAGGAGGGTATCGGATGCGGATCCCGGGACGAGGTTGAGGAGGGATGAGTTTATGCAGATGTGTGTGCGGGCTGAGAAGGATCCGGGGTTCATGAAGGAGTTGATGATGGGGAGCTTTGAGGTGAGGTATGATTTCACACAGCATTATAAAAAGTTGGATGGTCAGTAGTAAGGGGGGTTGGTCAGGAGCCAACTATTTGACTCAGTGGAAGTTTCTTTCTAGACACTGAGTGAAGAGACATTATGTAGGTTTGCCAAACCAATCATCAAGCGTGCCGCAATTTCTCAAGTTGTACGTCTTCGGGAACAAGCTCACAACCCTAGAGTTGAGCAACATGCTGCTTATACAGCTTAGACCAGGGAAATTAGGCCAAGGGCTGGGTACATTCCCGTCTCTTTGACTACCGGTTTCTCCACGTCGCGTGCAAGCTCCAAGGGTGAAGGACCTCTTCTAGGCAGACTACTTGTGTTAGATGGAGCCGCACCGATGATGGGTTAATCAAGACAATGTGAAATGCATTCTAATCATCGTCTACATTTTTGTTCAACTGATACAAGCTGTAACGCCCCAGATGTCCCTCGGCCTTGGTCCCTCGAGATCATGTTGCCAGTATCTCACTTACCTTAGATAACTGCAATACTGTTATTACCTAGCACATGAATGACAACATTTGTATCTCTGTCTAATCTTCTCGTAGGTTAAATGCTATGGTACCAACTATATAGCTACTGCGCGTCTTATCTTACCTCAGCACCGCAACATTGGCGAACCTACGTTGCTTTCTAGCGTTATGTATGAAGCAGATGAGCTTCTTAAAAGTCACTAGGGGGTTATCTAAGTATCCTCCAGTCTCTTTCGGGATTTAATATCTCCTCTGGATGGCCTTTAGGCGTAAATTATTTAGAAGACGGCTTCTTACCGTATTTGGAAAAGTAGAATGTGGTGGGAGAGGAGAGTGCTGGAATGACGAGGCTACTCGTATCAATCGTTTCTGCCTGTGATACAAGAAGACAATGACTAGCGATTGAAATGAGGTCGGAACGTCGGGAAATCTATTCTTCAAAGGTCAATGTATGATGATCCTCAAGTAATATCAATCCACGCTATCTCCGCCATTCGAAATTGAGGTGTGAGGGGGTAAAAAGACTTACAACGGAGTTTCGAAGATGCTCGATACTAAATTTGAAAGCCCGTAGACTATCCTGTCCGGGTAATTGGCATCACCGGATGGAAAGCACTATGTGTTAAGCTTTGTGGGAGTTTGTGACGACCTACGGGCCGGCCCCATCTACGGGACAACATCCGGAATATTTGGGGCCAATACTCCGTCTCCCGTCATCTACGCTAGAAGACGCCGGCGTTCCAGAAAACCCCGATACAACGACTGACCTCACCCTACCACAATGGCTGGTCTGTCTTCAATAAGCCGAGCCCACATTCACTTGATTCATTACACAAGCCGATGACGTAACCGAAAGAAGGATTGTGTTGACATTGCACAATTGCATAACTCGCTCGGAGGAGTGGGGTTCCCATGATGGACCATCAACCCACACCTATTCTCAGCGCTCCAATAAGAGACTCGCGCCCGGCGCTTAATCCTAATGGTTCATTGCAACCCAATTTATCACTACATACAGAATGTCATACCCCTGTCAACCTCCTCCCCTTCTTCATCCAGCTCACACTCTCCATTGTTGTCAACACTTTGTCAACTCACGGCGTATGTGATACGAAGAAATTGGAAAGGCAGACTAGAATCACTGAGAGAAGAGACTTTCAGAGTCTGGTCACCAACATAATGACTTTGCAAGAGGCTCAGCAGTGGCAAGGCATTCTAGGCCCTGGTCTAGCCCCCGCAGGGCCGCGGCCCCTCGATCATCTCTCCAGCGCTTAGCCATCACCTCTCATTCCTCAACACCCATGGCCGAGGGCCCACGTCGAGCACCGAGTTGGTGCACGATCCCTGGACACCATCACGTCCTGTTGGCGCGATGTAGTATTCGAGTCCAGGAACGGCTCAAAATCATGCGCATCCGCTCGTTGCCGCGCTGAGAATTATGCTGTTGGTAGCAAGTTAACCTCTTAGTCTGTTTCGGCGACCCAAACTGTCGGGTTCAGTCTGTCAGTCTCGTTCCCTTAAGGTTGTGCGTCTCCCAGGAACAGAGGTTGTCTGACTTGAGTTCCTTTCATCTCTTTCTCCCTCATCTTCTCTTTCGTCTTGTTTCCTTTGTTGGGCGGGTTTCTCCTTTCAGTTTTTGTTTCCTAGAGTCAATGAGTCTTTCATGATAGCTCTAGACAACTGAGCCACACGACCAACCATACAACGGAGCATAGCTAAGGTTCTTGCATTATTCTTCCCGGTAGTCTATGCCCATTGTCCATCGAGGCTATGGGTATTAAGGGGCCCGAGGTCCAAGAGACTCGGCTTCTCCAAGATGAAGCCCCTGAGAAACAGAACCGAAAGGCTTCACTACCCTTCGTGTTCCAAAGGTCGCGAGACAGTGAATGCAGTCTTGAAACAGGTCAGATAGAACACGGAGACCAACCGCAAGTCGAATGATGCGAACTGACATATTCAACAGTTCACAAACATGGCTGGAAACCATTGACCCTCAGTGCTCCAGTTCTTTTTTCCTTTGCTTTCACATCCTTCCTCCTAGCGGTCATTATCGAGATACTCGCCCAACAAAGCCAGTCTAAAGGAGGCCTCGCCCTTTCGAAATCAGCTGACGATATACCGGCCTTTGCAAATTTCTGCTACCTGTTTCTACCCACGATTGTTGCCGTCATATACAGTTTACTCTGGAGCTGGATTGACCTTGACGTCAAGCGAATGCAACCATGGCTGGAGATGTCAAGACCAAAGGGCGCTACTGCAGAAAAGTCGATGTTTTTGGACTACCCGTACGACTTCATCGCTTTCGTTCCGATCAAGGCGGCCAAGAGAAGGTAAGCTTGCCTTTGCAACGTTTGCCAGATTTCGGCTCACCCAACGCAGACATTGGGCAGTCTTTTACGGCGGAACAGTCATGGTACTCATTTTCTGGGTAATAACACCCCTCCAAAGTGCAATACTTGGAACGGGCCCGGTCGATGTAAGGCGGCAAGTCGACATATCTGCTACTGAGGCTCTTCGGCCAGCTTCAGAGCACTTTGGATTGATGGATGTGACTATTCTCAATGAAGGCTATGCCCAGACATGGTTGAACCAGCGATTGCCGCCTTACACGACGTCGGAATACACGCTGCTTCCTTTTGACACGAAGAGTCAAGCTATCCAAGGATCTTCGACCAATTGGACAGGATCCACCACCAAGTTTTGGACTCAATTGAACTGCTGGCCTGCGGAGGTACACATGAACGGGGCCCCACGAAAGCATAACCACGACTTCCTCAATGGTCGTGGCTGTAATGCCAGTGAGATTGACAGCTATGGGACTTTTGACAACGAGTTGCCTTACCAGATGCTGTACATAGGGTACCCATACAGTTCATGGGTGGACTACTACCTGGGTGCCACTTGCTCGAAGCAATCAGCAGGCAATCAGTTTCTGGCCACGTGGGGTCACTCGGACTATCAGAAGAACGAGATCAACCTCACCTCTATATTCTGTGAGACCAGCTACTACAAACAGGCTGTCAATGCCTCCGTTAGAGCTGCTGATCTCGTCCCTTTGGAGAACTCGATTGTGCCGCTGGGTCCTCGAGAAAGACTTTTGGAAACAGAGTTTAACACGACAGCTTTCGAGCATCTACTAGGAGCCGGCGTGTTAACAACGCAACCCGACAGTGCTAACGGTGGTACGAAAGAGTTTCCGTTTGGCCGTCTACTGGAACAGCATCAGCAAGTCGCCGACTTGGGTATTAAATGGCCTATGGCACCGATGGCGGGCTTCGCAATTGGCTCACAAAAGAACGTCAAGACACTCGATGTTTACCGGGACGAGACCAACTTGGGTAATGCTTACAACTCGACACACAAGATGCTCTTTTCCCTCGCACTCCGTCGGGTCCTCGAAAGTTCCACGAGTACGAACACCACTACTGGCAACATCGATGTCGAGCTACACGGCATCATTGTCAGCCGAGTCTTCTCCGCTGTCGTCGAAGGAATGTTAGTCATTGTTGGAATTTTTACGATACTGCTGTGGTTGCACGGCTATAGGGCGCCCAGCCGGTTGACGATGGACCCCGCCTCCTTAGGATCACTCATCAGTCTTTGCCAAAACAGCACAACGCTTCTCGACAAGCTTGCTGGAAAGGGGGCGCTAACCGAGGAGGCTCTCAAGCATTCTTTCCAGGACCTACGATTCAAGCTGTTCTGCGGGTGCCAGAGTCGTTCAGGGCAAATGGTCATCAAAGTAGTCGATACCCGAGACAAGACAACCGAGGAGCAACGAATCAGCCTGACCCAGCCAGACACCACCTTTTCCGTCGGCCACTACTCCCCAGTCAAGCCCATGGCCCTACGCCGAGATGTTGGTGGCATGGTAACATTATCGATGATGGCAGCTATTGGTGGATTGGTCTACTTCAAGTTGCTTGAGCGACGCAACAAAGGTTCGAAGTATGATTTCTACGGTAAAATCGAAAGCTCACCAGATTGTCAGGAATCGTTCGTCCAAACGCAAGCTTCGAGGTGCTGCAGATACTCGAAAATTACGTGCCAACTATTTTCGCAACTTTGCTGGAACCCTTCTGGGTGCTCGTCAACAGGCTTCTCTGCATTCTGCAGCCATTTCAGGACTTGTGGAACGGCAAACGGTCGGCCAAGGGTTCCATTAACGCTAGATACACCTCTCTCCCTCCGCAACTCGTTTTTTGGCGGGCGGTCAAGTCGGGTCACTTCATCCTCACGGCCATGTGCGGGTTGGCTTTGCTGTCTAATCTTCTAGCTGTCGGTCTCGGTGGTCTCTTCAACGAAAAGCCAATAAACATTGAGCGCCCCTACGACTTTCAACAATCATTCATGCCTCGACTTAATAATGCATCCATTTATGGCTCGGAAACCCGCGGGACTTTCCACAACTCCGCTCCGTACGAGGTTCCTTTTTATATTTTCATGAATAACGTGTCTCAGAACACACCACTTACACCGTGGGTCAACCACGACTACTTTTTTCAACCCTTCAACATTGTCCCCCAAGACGAAGATAAGACGAGCGGTACGGCGTTTACGGCGCGGACCAGGGGCTTCAGCACTAATCCATCCTGCTCTGACTTTGGCACTTACAACACGATAAGGAAAGCGCCTCAGGTGAATTACACAATGACCAGGAACGGCGAGGCTGTGAAGGGCTGCAGCACAAGCTTTATCACGAAAGATATGACACTCGACAGCAAGTACGACATCTTTCCCGGGCCGGCCTCGAAGGAGATTGTGCAAAAGTTGGACACCTCCTACGACTTGACACCCTGTGAGACCACTTTACTCATGGGCTGGTCGCGGATTTCTCATGCTTCGAACATTACCAGACCGACGAACTCGACGACAACCACGAAACGATCGCGAAGTACCGAGCTGGGGGATGGAGAAATTGCAAGCACGTTCGTTATTTGTGAGCCAGTCTTCGCCACGGCCATGTTCGACGTCACGGTGGACTGGCAGGGCTACATCATCAACGCGACCCGGGCATCCGATGTTTCGTCAGGGCTCGACTACCCACTCTCGACGAACCACACGGATGCGATATCCGCCCATGTCAATGAGCTCATTGTCTCAACCCAAAAGAGCTGGCACAACGACAGCTTCTCCCGCGACTGGATGAATTACCTACTCAAGATCCAACCGGGCCACGCGAACCTCCTCGACCCGACCGTCCCACCAAACGCCACCGCGCTGATCCCCGCCCTCGAAGCCGTCTACCGTCAGATCTTTGTCCTTCTCCTAGGCAACAACCAGAACTTCCTCGACACCTACCCCGAACCCGTGACCATATCTGGCATCCGACGCACCACAGAGACGCGCATCTTCCTGGACACCACCGCCCTCGTCATCAGCCTCGTCGTCCTGGCCATCAATATCGTCGTGGCCATCGCGCTGTACGGCCTGGCGATCAAGCACTTCCTCCCGCGCATGCCCACGACCATCGGGTCCATCCTCGCCTACCTCGCGCCTAGCAGGGCGGTGCGCGAGTACGATGGCGCTGGCGGCAGCCTCGAGAGCAGCGCCACGTTCAGCTTCGGTCGGTATGTCGGCGAAGACGGGCGCGCGCACGTTGGCATCGAGCTTGATCCCTTCGTGGTACCCGTGAAACTCTCCGCGCTGAGGAAGGGCGATACGGAGCCGAGGAAAGGCCTGCTTGGGAAGCTTCTGGGGAGACGGAAAGCGGGACGGGGAGGTGATACGTGGTTGTGAGCTTGAGACAGGCCAAAAGACCGGATGGAAAGTGACGATGGGATGAAAAGATTCCCAATTATGGACCTAGTACAGCCACGCCCAAGATGGCATGTTTTTCATACCCAGAGGGAAAACGCCCAAAAAAAAGAATGATTGATACCCATGCCTCTATCACTTTCGCGAATGCGAGTTGAGTTCCCATAAATGCCCATGACTTCAGAAACTGCGCTTTTTGGACCCTAGCAGCGACTCAGGAATGTTTCGATTCTGCATTTGTTTCTCTCAGAGTGTAGTAAGGCGTTTTTTTTGCACACGCAATGCTGATCATGTCCATGCGTGCCCTCTTCATCTGATATAGTATGTGTCAGCCTATTCAGCTCGACAAGGAACAGCTCCCATTCGACTACGCACCCTTACAATCCTGCACTTGTCATGTAGAAGGCTTACTCTCGATGGGGTGAGAAAAAAGACAAAAGATAAAGGAAAACAAAGTTTGAGTTATGTCAAGGTCCCTGTCCGCCCGGGGAACCCCACGAGATCTTTGACTCGTTTCCCAGGATCTCCCCGCCCGCGTGTCAGAGACGCCACTTCGGATTGTCAAGCTCTGGTCCGCAAGTGGCCGTCGGACGCTTTGACGTGAGATAGAGCTGAAAGCTTGGGGTTTGGTGTGTGTGGACCGATGAGTGAGAGACCAGACATTGGGACTTTTTAAGATTCACATGGCGAAATTCATTGGAGAAATGTTTTATGATGAGCATGTGTTATGCTATTCGTCTTCTCGTGCTACTTTTCTCATGCCTGTCGATCCAAACAATGTGCCCCCAAATGGGCATACCAATGTAATGAAATGTATATGTACAGAATTTTGTCGTAAATGTTCAAGAAAGAAAATGAAACGCCCAAGTCTTTGTGCAGTGCATTGTATGTTGTCATGACTTTGTCCAATGTATCCCCGAGGTATCATATCCCGTAAATGCTAAACCGTTCATGAAAGAGTGTTCGCCATCGACCAGCTTAGGCGGAACGGAAGCGAAGGGAGCGCTGGCGGAGAGCACGCTTGCGGCCGTTTCGGGTCACAACCATGCTCAGCTCGGAGCTGATGCCAGCGGTGCAAGAAGTACCGCCGGCAAGAGCCTGGACAGAAGACCAGGTGCCGCTGGCGCAACGCTGGAAGGAGCTACCTCCAACACAGTTCCAGGCGCCCTCATCGGTGCAGGCGGCGCCGACAGTCTGGGCACCGGCGGTAGTGCCGTTGCCACTGCCGCTGCCGCTGCCGCTGCCAGTACCAGACGAAGGAGCGGCAGAGGGAGCGGCAGAAGGGGCGGCACTAGGAGTGACTGCAGGTGCTTTGGTAGCGGAGGCGGAGGCGGTGGGAGTGGCAGAAGCTCCACCATTGGCGGGGACGGTGATGAAGACACCGCCGGGGAGGGAGGCGTTACCGGTAGGCTTGGAAGCAGACGGCTTAGACGAAGCCAGGGCGGAAGTGGGAGCGGCGGTGGGAGCGGCGCCTCCATTGCCAGCAGTGGTGCTAGGCTTGGGGGTACCGGAAGAACCACCACCGGAACCACCACCGGAAGAGGTGCCGCAGGAAGTGCCGTTAGGGGGACCCAAGTTAGTGCCGAAGACGTCGACAGAGTCGCCAGCATTGGGGAAGGTAACGTCGATGTTCTCGGACACAGTGCAGTCGTTGATGCCCTTCAAGTTGGCAACCATCATGTCGGGAAGAGCGTTGTAGGCCTCCTGAGAGCCGCCGGAGCCAGTGATGGTGACGGGTCCGCAGTTCATGTACATCTCACGGTTTCCAACCTTGTTGAACCAGGTCCAGGCGATAGTACCGTTGCCAGCGGGCATGTCCTTGGGAATTGTGAAGTCGTACGTGTCCTTGCCCTGCTGGTTGGCATTGTCACCGAGGTTGCCGGCAGTGTTCTTGGCCGGGCAGCCTCCCTCAATAGACTTGATAACCTTCCAGACACTGTTCTTGTCAGGCTTAGCATCCCAAGTGATGGAGACCTGGCAAGAGCCGCCACCGTGGACAGCAGAGCCAATGAAAGCCAACTCGCCAGTGGCACCCTGGGCGTAAACGTTGGATGCTCCCGCGGCATTGTAGCTGCTCGACTTGCAGGGGAAGTTGCTGCCGTCCTCAATAAGAGGGCTGTTGTCGAGGTTGGCGTTGTCGTAAGGAACGGGCTTGCTCATCTTCATGTGGGCACTGGCGAGGGTGGCCAGGCCGAAGGCGACGATTGCGTTGGCGTACATGTTGAGTGGTGTTTTGAGTCGTGAAGTTAAGAATCTAAAACGTTCCAGACGTAAGAATCTTAGTATCGTGTGGTTGTCGTTGTGACTGTGATTTGAGTTGGAAAGAAGTTGTGATTTCCGAATGAGTACCTTTATAAAGCATGTTAGTTCAACTCAACCTAAGCCATTACACAAGATCCAGCATCTTCGACAGCGCATCTGTTTCCCAACAGGCCCGACTCGAAGCAACCAGCCACAGCCACGACCGTGAAAGTCCCGGTGTGACGGGACTGGGTTCCTTCGAAGAATGACATTGTTTGTGAAGCGGCGCGGGCCGCGATGTCGCACAAAGGCATCGAATCGGGCCAAGGACGGCCAAGGCTGCGTGCCGTTCCTTTGAGGAGGATCCTCGTAACATTCCAGGTAACTTACAATGTCTTCTCGCTTTGTCTTGCTAGGAAGCTTTGACGTTGCGGGATGTTTCAACAAAAAAAGTGTTGGAGTGAAGGTTGAGAATCGGATAGCTGTCGATGGGTCTCGAAGTTTCGATAGTTCGTTTGTGTGATTTCGTTTGATTCCGGAAAGGATGGTATTTGCACCAGGCGAGTTGGATATGTTGATGGAAGTTGTGAAGAAGAATAAGGACTAGCCTTGTTGAATGAGAAGTGAGAGAAGGTAAGATGTCGAAACGACAAGTTCTTTCCAAGCCCAAAGAATGCGAGAAGACGTGATGGTCCGAGAGGATGAGGAGTAGGAGAATGGGATTGTGAGGTCGGACAAGGCCAGGTCTTATAATACCAGAAACAGACCCAAAGGGATGATGGGCAAAAACGAGTGAGCACCTTAGTGACTGTGACTGACAGGGCCCCACGGACAGAATATGCCGGGCCTAGTGTGTAGAGAGTGACTTAGTGACTAAACGAATGGATACGGGAAAGGAGACGCAAAAAAGCAATAAGCACGAGCTGCAGCAGAGAACGGCGGTAATCCCAGAAGGACTGGAGAAGGATGGACTGGAGGTCGGACCGGGAGGATGAGTAGCTGAACAAGATCGGTCCACTTGGGACGGGAGAGACATGGCGTTCTTTTTAGACAGGCGTTGAGCCAAATGGGCCAGTCAAGACCAGACATGGGCATCAGATCAAGGGGATTCGAAGCATGGTGGATCGACCGAGGGGTACAGGGGCAGGCCGTTGAAGAAGGAGAGGCATGGCCTTGAGGCTATGATAGGCCGGAGACATGCCCCTCGGCTTGTTTCGACATGGCTCAAAAAGACCGGACTAAACATTCTTGTGAGTGGGCAGGGGGTGTGAGTGACTGAGAGGAAAAGGATGGAGATGGGTACGGAGTATAGGTGATCAGTTAGGGTGTGGGCGCCGTCTGGAGCTCGAGCTGCGGCTGTCGTCTGCCTGTCGACTTTGACCCATGGTCTCGCGGCAGAGGCTAGGACGGTAAGACCATGCCATGTTCCTGGGAAAGACAGATGGTGGTGGACTTTGGTATGCAGATGTGGGTGGGACATGGAGGGACGGGGACCTTGCAGCAAGGCGCGCCATGGTGCGTTGCGGGTTGGGCTGCGCTCTTTTCGAGCGACGGATGCCCCTGACTAAACTTGTCTAAGGAGGAGCCAAGGACAGCCAAAGGCGGGGGAGGAGGGAGGGTTGTCCTGTGGTGCATCTGTGGACCAGCGTCGAAGTGGTATAGACTATAGGGGAGGGATTGGTGAGGAGTTTTTCGAGCTGTCGTTGATAGCGAGGATTGAATGGCTGGGACGAGGTGGGAAGAGAGACAAGTGACACCGAGGATGGTGCGCTAGTGGGAGGGGAGGTCCGGGACTGGCGACAGGGAGCAGGGAGCGATGATGCAGGGAGCATGGGTGCATGTTGTGGATTCTAGACTCCAGGGACCCACCGGACAACGCAGTACGTACCCTTACCACTCCCGTCCAGTGACGACGTCCCATTGGGTGCTCGGAACACGCTAACGGAGCACGAGTGCACGGTTCCTTGCCTCTCTCGATACGTACTCTTTTGGCACCAGCTCCTTTTTTCGCATACCTAGTACCTTAGGTAAGGCACCTAGAAACGTCCCGTCTATACGTATCTTTCTATGCTACCTACCTACTGAGGTAGGAACGGATATACGTAGTTCACTTGGAAGGGGCGAGGGTAGTAGGCACGGGAATATGGAGGATCGCATAGGTGTAACCACATGTTTCCATCTAGTGCGTAGATGGCAACCCTCAACTTGCTCTAGAAGAGCGGTAGGAACACTGAAGCGCTCACGCTGCAGCTTCCAAGACAGGAGAAGCACCAAAATCGGCGGAGACTACTGCAAGGCACCATCTGGGAGATGATCACAGCATGCAGTAGTCATTCTAGTTGTCAGAGTCAGAATGTCACACCCAATTCTCTAGTATTCTTGGTTCCCGTCCTGTTCCTGTTACTAAATGCATTCGTCCAGACTATCTTAGTCTTGCTTGGGGCTAGATTAGAAGGGAGGCGTTGCGATGCAAGTTTAGTCATTTCATCCGGTGTATATATATTTTTTTCCACCTGGGATGGCAAAGGTAAAGAGGCGAGTTGTTGCCTTCGCCTCGCCAAGCCACAAGGTCCAAGGATGAGTGTAGTATACCTGGGCCTGGTAGTTAATTCTTCAACACCAGAACTTTGCCTGATAGGCAAACAGACAGCGCGGCACGGTAGCGCGGCTCGTTTGCTGACTGACGGCTCGACCGTATGCACTGACTGGGTCCAAAGTCAAGATCGTCGAAACACGAAAAGGGCGAAGCAGTCCAGTCCATTCCAGACTTTTCGCGCTTTGCCGAACGTCGTCTCTCCCTTTCTTTTTTGGGACAATAGGCGGCCTCCAATCAGGACATGTCGAACCTTGGAACCGGAGACGGGACTTGGGTAGTGGTGATCCATCGGCGGCCATCTTTTGCGACCCTCGCTTTCTGTCGCCCGAGAGGCCTTGGTGGCGGCCACTTAGATCCCTCGCATACCCTCGCGGGAGAGAGATACGTCACGGTGCGGCGCAACCCTGCCTGATCGCATTGGCTACGCCGCTTTCCAGCTTACAGGGCCTGCGTTTTCGGATGCTCACCTCGTGAGCGAGAGAGTCCAAGACCTTGGTGTGGGAGAAGACAGAATTGGTCCATCTACCCCCTGTCGACGATTCTGAGTGCAGGGGTATGAGAGCGCAGTCATTCCTGATGTGGACTAATGCCAAAGAGGGATGGGCAAGGGGGGGGGGGGGACTTTTCAAGAGTCAAGACCCAGACCTGCAATGACTGGACTGGACTGCCATGGTGTCGCCGCCGTTGTCGCGCAGCGAGCCTCACCCGCTCATCCAGCCCAATGAGCTTGGTGCACGCACGACGCGGGCAACGGGGGAACATGGAGCCTGGAGGACATGTTAAAGAGAAGGAAGAGAAATATCGGGGTCAGGGATCGGAGAGGTGGGCGGAAAGGAAAACGCAAGCCCAAAAAAATATAATCGTGGAAGAACAGGGGGGGGATCCGCTGTGCCGCTGAACCACGCATCCACGGCTTTCGGCAAGGCCTGATGAGCAAGGGGGTCCGGAACGTGGAAGAAAGGGGCAGACGATATCCAAACTCTGGTTCGACGATGGAGTTCGTTCCGCGATTATTCATGTCATTCCTTTTTTTTTTTTTTTTTTTTTTTTTTTGCAGTGAATTGACCGCTGGCCAAGACATGAACTTATGGGACCGACAGTCATCCTCAGTCCACTTGCATGTCAAAATGTCTTACTCTTGACCAAGGTGAAGAAGAACTAAAAAAGAACATCCCAGACTTCAGCATGCCAGGCGAAAGCGAGACATGCAACGGGCATCTCGAGCCGGTGGTGAGACTTTTGGAACGAGATGCCTTGACTTTTACTCGGGGGGCACACCTTGTTGCTGGTTCAGCTCACCTTTCACACCGAGAGACACACTTCCTCACCTCGGTGCGTCGAGTGATACTGATAGAGGTACCTTACGTTAGGGAGGGAGCAATGCGCGGAATGCAGTGTATCAGTCAGGCCCCATCCCTCCATCCATTGTGCGCATTGTCGCTTGACAAGCTAAGAAGCCAAGACCCAATATGAACAAAGTCGCGTTGATCGACAAGATTCTCCCGAGTCAGCGATGGGTCATCCCCGTTGTGGGAAGTTTACGTTGAGACTTGAGAAACGTAAAGTGAGAGAGTTGAATTGTCATCGGATGCTCCCCCAACTCAATCTACTCCGTCTCGACCTCGGTATTACTCCTCTGGCCCCGGCCCTGGGCCACAAGGCACATTTAGAGTGGACGTTTTGGCTTGTGGATTGTGGGAAGGCGAAATCTTAAGAGAAAGAAAGGTAAGTGGGAGGGAGCACCGCTGTACAATCTGCACACTCGTTTACTGCGGCTGCTGTCTTAACACGTCATATGTCTCTTCCCAGTAGTGCCGCGGTGGCAGTGTACCTTGTCTCCCGGTGTTGGCCTGATAGTGGGGACCGCATCCGTATCCGTACTCTGTCGTACCTACCTACCTTACACGTGTGTGCGTGTGGACCACCATACCTAAGCCTCAGGTCAAGCAAGATACTACGTAGAGACAAAGTCGTGCATATGGGTCGTGGCGGTCTACCTTATTAGTTGCTTTAAACGATCAACGGTCTCTCCACCGAAGACATGAAAATAAGGAACGGTGAGCGGCTCACGACAGCCACTCGTTTTCACTATGCTATGCGCATTTGCTTCTTTCTCTCCTCTCTCCGAAAAGTCTCTCATCCCAGTGCCGAGACCTAGTGCACTGCGTACCCATGTTGACATGCAAAGGACAGGCCAAAGTCCCCTGACACTGCGACCTGCCCATCTGGATGTTCCCCGCTAAATCGGAGAGCAGGCGGGGGTAGACGAGCAGATCCTCCTGTGCAAGTGCAGGGGCACAGGGGTTGGTGAAAAGACGACGTTGGCAACGGCAGGGGCATGTTTTCTCGCTTCTCTGAAGTTCTGTGCATTATTCGGTTCGGTCCATCAGGGGTTCACGTACCCCCGGGCTGGGAGTCCTCCTCCTGTCCAATCCACAAGTCCACATAACTTGAGAAGTTGAGGCCTTTTTCTGCCCTCTCGATAATCGTGCCCACTTCACAAGTGCACCTGAGGGAAGCCCTAGGTACTTTGGCATGGGCTCGTTCCTTCCTTCGTCGCACCTAATGTGCTAATATACCATCGTCCAGGAACAAATGGTAGGCTAATCAGTCGTCACACATGCTACGTTGTATGTAGTGGACGCAGGGTCTCGTGGAAGGGGTCACTGGGTGGTCGTTGTGAGGTGGTTTCCTGCAAAATGTCTGGTGAGGAGACGAGACTTGCTGGCACTGGTGGGTGGTGGTGACTGGCAGGAGCTCCCAAACTCCAGCACCCCTGCGCAGAAGCGAGGATGTGAAACGAAGCCAGTTTCACGACCACCCAAGTTCGCCTCTTCTCCTTTCGGACATTTGTACCTGCACCTACGAACCACTGACAACGAATCAATGGGATATTAACAGTCACCTGTTAATGGAAATACCGGTACGCAGTAATTGTGCCGCGTAGCGGTGCGGCATCATATGGTTCCTGCGTGTTTTTTTGAATCTTTTCCAAGCTAAGCTTTTTTGACCGTTTGTTTCTTCAGACCAGTCAGTCAAATGTTCGGTCCCGTCACAATCACAGGCCATCGCGGACCGCGGAAAGCGGGAACATGGCATGGCATTGCCGTATCGCATGGCATCTGCGATTCAGTCTTAGCACCCCGGGACCAGTCGTTTTTCCTTTGTCCAACTTCATCGAGAGAACGTCGTCACAACGACCTTTCCCCCCTCTTCCCATCCGCCGGGTTTGGAGTAAGCGCTCTAGTGAACGAACCAGCTTCGTTCCTTAGCTGAGCACCTGTCACGAGCTGTCAGCCTAAAGTGCTTAACCCTCGGGTTGCTCTGACGTTGACCAGTCGTTTGACAGCAACGGGACGACGACGTGGACGACAACCAAGTATCGTGCGCCGAAGCTCTCAGGCCTACTAAGCATTTCATGCGTCTTCTACTCCGTTCTTTCCAGCTGGCTGCTCTTTCTGCGACCATGGACGTAGCCCGTCGTCCGGCTGTCACTCTGGCTCGTTCACGGTTCATCAAACCCCCAGAGCCCAAAGCGACCACGGCCCATCAACCTGAACCCTGCAGATTTTACTCTCTCCTCTCCGAGTCTCTGCTGCGTATGGATACGTATCACTGTTCCCCGGCCTTTGCCCGACCACAGTGGGACATTTCACCGGCTGTTGTCCACTGTCACGTTGCTGATTGCCACCCCGTGGTCCACCGTCCAATTCCCGGATGGTGGTGGCCCGAAATCCACGGCCGACTGGATATCGACAGGGACCGCTCACAAGAAAGAAAAGAGGCCCATAACACTTGCTTTTTCACGAGAGAGAGGGAAAGGAGGGTGACGATGGGAGAAACAAGAGACGAGATATTCCGGTCGGTTCGTTGCGCGCGCAGTACGTAATTCTTTACCCATGCGTCGACATACCCTCATCTATCAACTACACAGATAGCTCTGGTTCTTTCGAGCCCGGTACGCTATTGCCCCCGGTCGAGATTTTCGTCGTCGTCTGATGATTTCGACAAATCCCTCCCCCTTCATCTTGGCCCGTCCACGTCCGTGTTGCTGCCTCCCCTGAATATCGCAGCTGGTTGGGCATTGGGTAGAATGAGCCCAGGCTCGACAAGCGCCGTCTGGAAAGACGATCCGAGTAAGGGAGGGAGGTTTGGGAGGGAGCCACGCACCCACGGGAGCTGAGAAAGCAGCCAGCGCTGGGAGGCCCGTCTTCCCTCAACTTCTTCATGTTCGGACGATCTGGTTGAACCGAGTCTCGTACTTGCGACACTGATCGCCCGCCAGCGCACACAGCCCAGCGCTGTACCAGCTACGAAACGGCACCCGTTCCCGCTCACGCATGAATTCCCCGACATGACCTCTACCACCTGATGGCCCCTTGCCAATACCCTATTCTTTGTCGTCGTGCGGTGCTTCTTTGGGCAGTCGAGCCGCCATCAGCTTAAGTCATGGGCAACGACACATATCAATTTCGGTGGGGAGGGGCATCCCTGGCGAACACCCAATTCGAGCGCGCCTCGGCATGAAAGATCGCCTCTGAGCCACAACTTCACGAGGAGATTCGAATATTTCCCAGGTAACGCCACCCGCCGTCAGCCACCCCTGTTCGGTACCACTTTGCGAGCAACGGCTTGTGGCGCGGTGTGGCTTCCCCTGCCGGAGCCACAGCGATCTCTCGTTTACTATGCCGCCTGTAGCTCGTAATTCGTGCTCCCCGAGAAAAGGGACCAGCTTTGCGGTAAGTGGGACCAGTTCGCTTCGCTTTCTGTGCCACAAGAGCACAGCTTTACAGATACCGATATAGTACCGATATAGTATTCTTTATCGGATGCCTCTGGGCTAGCATCCTTACGTAGCTGGAAATCCCGGCGCTGAAGAGTCAGCCGCTACTAGCATGCTTGAATTCAAGAGTGGGCCGGCATTGTTCACGAGGAGGCACTTTACACGCCTTGGCTCGACGTGTTGCCGCCTGTTCCTGAGCTAGTTGAAGCTGCTGTGACTCGTTTTTCCGTGGCATGATTCTCAGCCGCTCAACAAAAAAACGCCGGGCTTGCATGCTCGTTCAGCAAGCTTGCATAAGCGTGGACCACTCAGAAGCTGTGTTGCGGTCAGCGAGTATTAGTGCACTTATCATGGGCGTTGCTGATATCATCAAGGCTGCCCCTCGGATTGATGGCTTCCCCCGCTTTGAATGGTTGCATTGCCGCCCAAACTTGGCCATAGGACGACGACGACAACCACGACAGCATCACATCACATCACGGGAGAAGGCACGCGTACTCATGGTCTGCAGCCCTGTGCGCCAAGGCCGGCGGCAGTCTTTGACTCATTCAAGGAGCATGGCTGGTTAGCAAGACGTCGTCTTCTCTATTTGCTGATATTGCGTCCTGGTTTCATCTATCCGTCACATCGTAATTGCCCGTCTGCCATGTGTGGGCGGCGGCGCTCGACTCTCTCCAATGCCGTGAGCCGGCGCTGACATGTCCACCTCACACCGCCCTATCGGCCCAGATGCAGACCTGCATCGGCTGCCTGCCTGTCGTGAGAGCCCATCAAATAATGCCGTTTGCCGCCACGCGAAGGAGAAGATCAAGAAAAACAGAGGTATGCTGTCCCAAGTCCTTGGGCTAAGCAGCCGCTCTACTTGGCAACCTCATCCTTCTTCTCCCCGTGACCGTTTGCATCTTCCTTCTCGACCTTCTCAAATTCTGCATAGTCGTCGCAGCCTTGATGTGGGTTTTCCAATGTTAGCGAAAGAGTAGTCAAATGGGCCCCCCCTCGGCTAGCCAGCCAAGCCGGCTTACAATCCATAAGCAGATCGAGAAAGGGACGGTGTTAGAGGTTGTCTTACCTTCAAAGACGTAGCTCTCGCGCGTCCAGACGTGCATCTTGTCCTTGCGGAACTCTTCAAACGACCACTCCACGCGCTCCAGGTTCTCTGGGCGCTTGTAGATGTAAGCCATGGCCTCCTTGTCCTCTTTCTGTTGCTCTGTACCAGCACCAGTACCAGTACCAACACCGGCACTGGCACCACCGCCGCCGCCGCGGACCCTGACGGTGACCATCTTCTTCTCGTACTCGGAGCCCTCGAAAAAGTCGAGCTTGAGGACGTTGGCGTCCGTCAGACCCGTCGCGTAGATGCCGAGGACGGAGCCGCCGGCTTCGGGGATCATGCCCGGGTAGTCGGCGAGCTGGACCCGGTGGCGGGTGTGGTCGTCCAGAAGGGCGGGCGTGAATGTGTAGAGGTCCTTGATTGCCTGGGGCGGGTTGCCGTTGCCTTGGACGACTGTGAAGAAGACCTTGGGCTCCATCTAAGGGGGAAAGGAAAAGTTAGTGCAAAGTCCTAGGTGATATATGCTACGATATCTTCAAGACAGGTTGATTGAAATATCCAAGTCTGCTTGCTCTATGACGCCCCTACGACTGATTTATACAGAGGCTCAACTCGGAGTCTCGGGATGGGTCTGAGCATTTCATCTTTGGAAGTGGAATGGCTTCTCGGAATGTCTGACAAGGGTGAGATGGACGACTGACCAGAGTGCCTGTCCATATTGTAAGTTCATGACCGTCAGAAATGCGACTCCCAGACTTACCATAGAAGAAAGCCGTGTGTGGTCCACTCATTTTGGATGTGTTGTATTGGTGTTTAAAGGAAGCAATGAAGTTGTGTGTTGTTGAAATAACTTTGCGAGGGTTTGAAGTTGATCAGATGAGAGTTGTTGTGCCGAGAGCAGATAATACAGAGGTCGTCGGGAAGTATTCAGCGCTGAAGAATGTAGCTCATATATACTACTCTTGGGTCTTAAATGAGACTCATGAGTCACTGGAGCCTTCCGATCTAAATTTGTGAATACTGATCTGCCTGACCAAGATGGACTGGCAAGCTTCAAGAAATACCACTAGTCAAACCCGTTGTATGCGCTTCTCTTTGTGGCCTTTACACAAACATGAAGGAATAAGGCACCTGAGAGACAGGCCGTTGGGAAACGTGAAAGACAACGAAGGCAAGCGTGCGACAATGCAATGCTGAACAAAGGTGACCGAAGAATGAAGTGGAATCCCGGCCCGCCTCCGGATCGTGATTCACCGGCGGCCGGAGCTCTTATCGCTCCCCAGACAAGATAAGGCGCTTTGGGCAAACACCCCTACCCCCAGACGCGGCCCGGCAGGCACTCCGGGTGGAGCTTTTATGGAGCCCAAGCCACGGATCAATATTGTACAGATGCCTAGCGCCAAATGATTTGGCGGCTGGTTCCCCCAGCTTCGCGACTGCCTTTCGAAATTTGAGAGCTCACGTCAAGCCTGGGCCATCAAATCCATTTAATCAAGCCGCGCGACCTTGAGCGATTGGGAACGACTGGGGCACCCCGATTACCAAGGCACACGCGAATACAACCCGTAATTGTAAAATTACCTTTTGGTCTTTCTATTTACACTTGACACCAACAGCGGCCCTTTTTTTCCCTTTTCCATCAATTAACGAGATACCCCTCCAAATCCAACGCGCGCTCTCGTCCACATCCTCGATCCATCAGCCTCGCTGCGACCCGAAGTCATCCACGATACCCTCCCCTCCCACGCATGGGAACGATTCACGCGTCCCCCGAGGGCCATTGACGCCGCCATGTCGGGCACCACAATTGACGATGTCGTCAAGCGACTTAGCAGTCCGGACACGGGTACGGAACGAGCTCCTCGTGCAATGCGATTCGATCGATCCCTCGAACCCGGAACCCCGCCGTGGTGGAGGCGCATCACCTTTCGTCAGGATCTTGCTGACATGCGTGTGGTACAGACTCGAGAGTCAGGTTAGAGGCGGCGACTACCTTACGCGACAGCTTAGATCACTACACCAATGGGAACATATACCCCCCTTTCCTGAAGCGAATGGTACCGATCTTCCTCACAATCCTGAGAGGACCATGCATCTTCCAGAGCAACTCCCCGGAGCAGGTGAGGCATCCCCGCATCGATCCAGATGAGTGCGCCTGCTGATATTGGATGACAGAAACTGCGAACGTGTATCCTCGAGGTTCTCAACCGATTGCCAGCGGCACCATCCCCGACCGAACCATTCGAACCGTACGCGGAAGAGGTTGTCGATCTGTTGATGCAGCTGGTCCGTACGGACAACGAAGAGAATGCGACACTATGCGTCAAGATCATCTCGGATGTCATGCGTCACCAACACAAGGTCCTGCAGGGCAAGGTGCAGGCATTCCTCAACCTGATTCAGGAGCTGTTTGAACAGATGGAAAAGGTCGTGCGGGAACAGCTGGACAACACGTCATTCTCGACTGCATCGAACTCTGGCGCACCATCAACGCCGGGCAGCTCCCAGACGAACTTCCAGTCGCCTAGACCGGGCTCCCCCGTAGCGTCGGTCACAGATCTCGGCCCGGACCCCCAACAGCAGAATCGGCTACTGCTGAAGGGCATGCAGTCTTTCAAAGTCCTCTCGGAATGCCCTATCATTGTAGTTTCCGTCTTCCAGGTCTATCGAAACACTGTCGCATCCAACGTCAAGGCTTTCGTCCCCCTTATTAAGGGGTTCCTCTGTCTACAGGCGAGTGCGCAGAAGCAGGCCCATGCCGATGCCAAGGCTAGGGGACAGATCTTTACGGGAGTCAGCCCGTTGATTAAGAACCGGGCTGCTTTCGGCGAGTTCATCACAGCTCAGGTCAAGACGATGAGCTTTTTGGCTTATCTTTTGCGTCAATACTCTCAGCAATTGACGGATTTCTTACCGACACTTCCTGAGATTGTAGTTCGCCTGTTGCAGGACTGCCCAAGAGAAAAGTCAAGTGCGCGTAAGGAGCTGCTTGTTGCTATCAGGCATATCATCAACTTCAACTTCCGCAAGATCTTCTTGCCCAAGATTGACGAGCTCCTGGACGAGAAGACGCTGATCGGCGATGGCCTTACGGTGTACGAGACTATGAGACCGTTGGCGTATAGTATGCTCGCCGATCTCATCCATCACGTCAGGGACAGTCTCACACCTGAGCAAATTCGCAAGACGGTCGAGGTTTACACCAAGAATCTCCAGGATAACTTCCCAGGGACGAGCTTCCAGACCATGAGTGCGAAACTCCTCCTTAATATGGCGGAGTGCATCGCCAAGATGCCTAACAAGGTCGACGCGCGGCACTATCTGATCATGATCCTGAACGCTATTGGCGATAAGTTCGTGGCCATGAATAGACAATATCCCAACGCAGTGAAGCTCTCGAAACTCTACGCCCAGCAGGCCGCTGACGGAACCCAGGATAGCTACCTTGCGGACAAGGACCACCCGCCTGACTGGGATGAGACCGACATCTTCACTGCTATGCCGATCAAGACGTCAAATCCAAGAGACAGAGGCGCAGATCCCGTTGTGGACAACAAGTTCCTGTTTAAGAACCTGATGAACGGGCTGAAGAACACTTTCTACCAGCTCAGAACTTGCAATGTCAACAACGTCATCGACGTACAGAATGCCCCTCAACACTGGCAGGATGTTGCCTATGGTTTCACAGCGGAGGAGGTCAACGTCATCGTGAAGCTGTTCAGAGAGGGCGCCTATGTTTTCCGCTACTACGAAATTGAGAAGCCGGCAACCGAGTCCCAGTACATGTCGCCCGTTGAGTACATGGCCAACTTCTACATGGTTTCTAGCAGTAAGGAGGAGAAGGAACTTCTGGAGACCTTCGCGACTGTCTTCCACTGTATTGACCCGGCGACGTTCCACGAAGTTTTCCAGCAAGAGATCCCTCATCTGTATGACATGATCTTTGAGCACACGGGATTGCTCCATATCCCTCAATTCTTCCTTGCCAGCGAAGCCACCTCGCCAAGCTTTTGCGGCATGTTGCTGCGCTTCTTGATGGAGAGAATCGACCAAGTTGGCTCAGCGGACGTCAAGAAGTCGTCAATTCTGTTGAGACTGTTCAAGCTAGCCTTTATGGCAGTCACGCTCTTCGCCAACCAAAACGAACAGGTCCTGCTTCCTCACGTTGTGGACATTGTCACCAAGTCCATTGAGCTGTCAACAAAGGCTGAGGAGCCCATGAACTACTTCCTACTTCTGAGATCGTTGTTCCGAAGCATTGGTGGCGGCAAGTTTGAGCATCTCTACAAGCAGATTCTGCCATTACTTGAAATGTTGCTGGATGTGCTCAACAACCTGCTCATGGCAGCAAGGAAACCTGCCGAGCGCGATCTTTACGTGGAACTGTGCTTGACGGTGCCGGCACGTCTAAGCAACTTGTTGCCCCATCTCAGCTTCTTGATGCGGCCGCTAGTTGTCGCATTACGCGCCAACACTGATCTGGTCGGCCAAGGTTTGCGGACGCTAGAGCTCTGTGTTGATAACCTCACTGCGGACTACCTGGACCCCATCATGGCCCCGGTCATTGATGAGTTGATGACGGCGCTGTTTGACCATCTCAAACCCCATCCCTACAGTCACTTTCACGCTCATACCACGATGCGCATCCTAGGAAAGCTTGGAGGCCGGAACCGAAAGTTCATGACCGACGCGCAGCCCCTGAACTACAAAGATTACGCCGACGACCCGACAAGCTTTGATCTTCGCCTGATCGGCTCCAAGAAGGATAGAGCTTTCCCTGCGGAGACTGGTGTTGATTTCGCCATCAGAAAATTGATGGAGCAGCCAAAGGCGGGCAAGGGCAATCAGGCGCGGCAGTATGATGGTTACTACAAGAAGCAGTCCTTCCACTTCATCAAGTCCCAGCTGAAGATGCGGATCGGCTTCGAGAACTTGCCCGACGACATGCCTAGGCTTCTGCGCCTCCAAGCTCAAGATCTAGCCGCCAGAAGAATCGACTTTGACTTCTCTGTCTTTACAACACACGACAGAGAACGATCTATTCCCAAGAAAGATGAGCAAGACGACCTTCTCAAGCGTTTGCTGAAGGCTGTCATGTTTGCCGAGTCTTTGCCTGATTTCAAGGAGGAAGCGCAGGCATTCCTCATGAACCTCTGCAAACACTTCACAATCATTGAGGTCGGCCGAGCCTTGGTCGACGTTAAGCGAACGTATAGCCCATTCGATCCCAACGCTGGAGAAGGCCCACTCTTTATTGATACCCGGGTGCTCTCTGATGCCATTGTGGAATCGTTGGCTTCGGATCATCCAGAAGTGCGAGAATCTGCGCAGCGCGCGATCCGGGAGGTGTACGACTCTGCCACCACAATCTTGGGCAATGAGCAGAGTGTTGCTAGGCTGCCTCTCTTTAATAACTTGAGCACCACATTCTGTCATGGCTGCTACGAAGAAGAGTGGTTTACCAAGACTGGTGGCTCG